ATCCCGCTCAGGTTCAATCGTGGGCTCAATCTGGGCTGATCTAGCCTGACGGCCCCACATCGAGCTCAATAGGATGAATCCTGCCTTCCAGGACCTCATGGGAGTTGCCTCCTGATGGGGGGGGGCTTCTTGATCCGGAGGATCCTGCCGCGTCTGGCGTGGAGGCTTCGAGGACGAGGCTCCTCGGAAGGCAATGGCCGAAGAACAACACATGGCATACACATAAACTTTTGGCGCTCCGCGCGGATTTCTTGGATGTGCGCTGGGCCCCCCCCCGGCGGCGCTTCTGGCGCCGCCCCTGGCGCGCTCCGCGCGCTAGTGAGGACGGTTCAGCGTAGATCGAAGCAATCCGCGCGGAGCGCCAACAGTTTATGCTTATGCCGCTTTCTTTTCTTTCAAGAGAGGGGCTTTGAGAGGTGGGGCGGCCTTCTCCGAAGCCTGCCCCCCCTCGCCCCGCCCCCGACCGAAGCTTTGTCCGCTCCATAAACCCGCCGCACTACCCCTTTTCCGCGGCCCACCCTGGCACGTCTTTCCCGCCGCCCTTGCGATCCCGGCGGTGCATCTCTTTTTTCCCCAACCATCCTGAGGTGTTGGGTCCTCGTTTTGAAGAGGCAGCGCCCCGCGGCCTCCTCTCCTCCCCCTCCTCCCCCTCCTCCTCCCATCCATGCCTCTGCCGCCTCCTCCCTCCTCCTTCCTCCCCTCCTCCCTCCTCCCCCTCCTCCCTCCTCCCTCCTCCCTCTCGCCGCCGTTGAGATCCCGGCGGTGCTCTGTTTTCATGACGGACTCTTTCGCTTGGTTTCGGGCCCTGTGACCATCATGGATCGATGCGGTTCGAAACATGCAGCAAAGAGTTGGGGTTCAGTCGGGCGTGTCTCTCCACAGGTGGCATATTCAATATAATGGAAACATCGTATGGGGACTGTGTTTTTCGTATTTCTGATTCGTGCTTGATTCTGTTCCATGTGTTTTCCAGTATCCATCTGTCGGAGGACATGTCCGACCTAAAGTTCAGGCGTCTATGGCGCCAGTCGTGATTTCAGCAACGGCTCTTCTGATGATGGGCCTGTTTTCCACCACCACCACAAGTTGGAGGGGGGAAGGAGGAGGAGGAGGAGGAGGAGGAGGAGGAGGAGGAGGAGGAGGAGAGGAGGAGGAGGAGGAGGAGGAGGAGGAGGAGGAGGAGGACCCCCTCCCCCTCCTACGTATGGTGGTGGCGGTGGAAAGCAGGCCCATCATCTGAAGGTTCGTGTTCGCGCAGCACCCAGCAGCGGCCACGAGCGCGCCCCCCTGGAGGCCCGAAGGCCCTCCGAGAGCGTCCAGCGCAGATCCGCGCGCCCCCGCCCGCGGCGTGCGCGCCGCCGGCCGTGGCCTCCGCGGAGGGGTTCCACGCCACCGTGCAGAGCCGCAGAGGGCACCCGTGCACCACCGCCGCGCCCCCGGGCCGGTAATGAGGAGGAGTAGGAGTTGGAGAGGAGGAGGAGGAGGAGGAGGAGGAGGAGGAGGAGGAGGAGGAGGAGGAGGAGGAGGAGGAGGAGGAGGAGGAGGAGGAGGAGGAGGAGGAGGAGGAGAGGAGGAGGAGGAGGAGGAGGAGGAGGAGGAGGAGGAGGAGGAGGAGGAGGAGGAGGAGGAGGAGGAGGAGGAGGAGGAGGAGGAGGAGGAGGAGGAGGAGGAGGAGGAGGAGGACAGGACGACGACGAGGAGGACAAGGAGGAGGAGAGAAGAGGAGGAGGAGGGAGGAGGAGGAGGAGGAGGAGGAAGGAGGAGGAGAGGAGGAGGAGGAGGAGGAGGAGGAGGAGGAGGAGGAGGAGGTGGAGGGCCATCCTGGGCTCCAGCAGGGGCCGGGGGCCCCCAGACGCGGCGGTGATCACGCCCGCGTGGTGAGTCAGGGGGGATTCTCCAGGCCTCCTGGATGGGGTCGGAGCAGATGGGGTCGGAGGGTCGCGCCCCATCGCCGATGCATCGGCGGTGCGGCTCGATGCAGAGTCCGATTTGCTTCACGCCAACGTCGCCGATGCATCGCCAGCGTCGCTGCCGCATCGCCGACGCATTGCCGATGCACCGGCGATGCATCGGCGATGCATTGGCGATGCGGTGCGACCCTCTGACCGCATCTGCTCCAACCCCATATGGGAGGCATCTAGATTCGGGGTGGCCGCACTGTTTCGGGACTCGGGTCGGTCTGCGATGATGCCTCGGGCCACCCAGGGTTCGAACGTCCAGGATTCGCTGAGGACTGGTTTCCTTACACAAGACCGCTGAACTCCTCCCGAAACCCTGAGAGAAAAAAAAACCCTCCAGGAAGGGTTAGGGAGGGAGGCTTCTCGGAGGGTTGCGGGTGGGTTCGGGACGGGTTTTTTCGTCGTCTTGGGGGGGAGACCAGTCCCTATAGCGGACCCTGGGCTTTCCGAACGGTCCTCTTCGAGGCGGCCGCGGCGCCCCCGCGGCGGAGGGAGGAGGAGGAGGAGGAGGAGGAGGAGGAGGAGGAGGAGGAGGAGGAGGAGGAGGAGGAGGAGGAGGAGGAGGAGGAGGAGGAGGAGGAGGAGGAGGAGGAGGAGGAGGAGGAAAGGCGTGCGGCGACGCCCGCCGTGCGGTGAGGTCCTGCGCAGAGGGTCGGGGTCCCCGCACGGCCTGTGGCCGCAGCGTTCGGGGACCTCCTGAATGTCAGGAGGGGAGCAAAGAGACACACACAGACAGACACAGGGAATGGTGGATCCCCAGGAAGGTGAGGGAAGAGTGCGGGAAGTGGGGAGGGAGGAAGACGAAGAAGACCCAGAGAAGATTGGAACATCACATCTGGGGAGTCCTGGGATCTGCGTCAAGGTCTTTCTTAGTGTGTTCCTGGGCCCCTCGTGAGCTGGCGCAGGCGCCCTCCTCTCGCCGAGCGAGGCCCAGGAGGGCCCAGCGCCCACACACACACACCACTTAGGATGCGACTCCTGGGAGGTGAGACTCAGCATCGGCGCTGGTAGATCCGTGGTCGGAAACTGGGCAGTTCTATCAGAATCTTAAGGGGGGCATGTCCCTCTACAGGAGGAATACTCGAGAATAGTAAATCCATAGCCTGGGGACAATTTTTGGGGCTCGTTCCACTTTGTTTTGACTCTGTGCCGATTTGTTTTGGGTGGGGAGGGAACACATGTTCTTCCCAACTCCGCCTGCAGGAGGACATGCCCGACCTGATCAGAACTCCATCTAATTTCCCCCCCTCATCCAGCGCAATCGGGCTCAATCTCGGGCAGCCCAGATTCATCCCGGGCTTCATCTTGCTAAGTCCAGCTCAGGGGCCCCTGAATCGGGCTTTATGCGCCTTCACCCACGTCGCATGTTCTCACACGGTTTCGCCCTGGTGTCCCTGTATTTTTCCCCTGGCAGCAAGCAGGGACATCGCCACAGTGGATTCATGCAGAATTTGATGGCATGCTGCGATGGGTGTGCGAGACAACGCGCGAGGCCTCACAAGCATCTCTCTAGGCCTCCCAGATGGGGTCCGGGTAGATGGAGTCGGAGGATCGCCCCGCATCGTCGATGCATCGGCGATGCGGCTCGATGTGGAGCCCATCGTTCTCCACGCCGACGTGGCCGATCCATCGCCGACGTGGTCAATGCATCGCCGATGCATTGCCGATGCGTCGGCGACACATTGGCGATCCTGTGCAATCCTGCGATCCCATCTGCTCGGACCCCATCTAAGGGGCCTCGAATCTCACCGTCCCCGCGAGCCCCACCTCGCTCACGTTCTTGCGCGGGCCTCCCAGGGAGCCGCCTCCGGATGTCGGCTCCGCCGGGGCATACTACTCATGATGTGTGCGCGCGCGCTCGGCACTCTCCGAGCATACGCTCGGCGGCGGGCGCCTCCCGGCCACACCGCTGGGGGAACGCTAGAATTCAGAGGAGGAGGTACCCATGCCTCTACCCTTCCCTCGTGTTCCTTTTTCTGGGCCCCCTGGGAGGCCCTCGTCGCCACCGCTGTACTCGCCTCGCAATTCTGGTCAGAACGCACCCCGGGAGAGGTCCAGGGAGTGTAGCGGTATCGGTACCTTGTGGTTTCCCCAATAATGCAAGGTGGTCGTATTTTTGGATCTGGGGATCTTCCCCGATAGCTCAGGTTTTTGAACTACGGACCAGGGTTGTGCCCCGACCGCAGCACGCCAGAGGATTTTACCAGCCGAGCTTGGCCGCGAGGCCTGCTGGAGTGCGGGACAGGAAAAACATGATCTGGCTGGGCGCACGCATCCAACGAGGACACTTACGTTGCATCTTCGGGGGGCCTCGCCTTTCCCCCGAATTGGTATCTTTTCTTGTGCTCGCGGCGGGCTCGGTGCGGACTTGACGCGGTGGCGCGGGTTCGACGCGGATTCGGCACGGATTCGACACGGATCCGACGAGGCCGATGTGGATTCGACACGGATTCGACGCGGATAGAGCCGCGACGGAACATGCAAGGTCCCCCGAGGATGCAACATCATTGAGTGCGGGGGAGGATAAACATTAATTGGCTGGGCGCACATCTACAACGGCGACGCATCGTCCCCTTGCGTCCCCTCTTCCCAACCCCCCGACGTCGTGATCTTGTTCACCAGCGCCGACCCCCAGAGGTCTGGACCCTTCCCCTGGGACCGGTCTCTCCTCCCGACTCCCTGCCTGACGGCCCCGAGGCCCCCTAAAGGGCCCCCAAAGAGGCCGAAGATGGCGCAGCACCGCCCGCCGTGATGCTGTTCCGCAGCGCGAGGAGCCCCCGGGGCTCCCGCGACCCACGGAGGTCCTCCCCCTAGGAGGAGGAGGAGGAGGAGGAGGAGGAGGAGGAGGAGGAGGAGGAGGAGGAGGAGGAGGAGGAGGAGGAGGAGCGAGGAGGAGGAGGAGGAGGAGGAGGAGGAGGAGGAGCGAGGAGGAGGAGGGCCCCCCACGGCGCGCGCCTGCCGCCCGGGGCGGCCCCTTTGGGGCGGCCCGCGGGCCCGTGGGCCGTGGCGGTGCCGTGGCGCGGCTGCCCTCCGCGGCGGCAGAGCCTGTGCCGCCTCGCGGCCGACGTCTCCGCGCCCGCGGCGCGCGGCGGCACGCCGCTGGCGGCCGCGGCCAGGCGCGGGGGGTCGGGGAGCAGCTCGGCGGCCGAGCGAGGGGGGGGGGGGGGGGG